AAAAAAAAAAAAAAAAAAAAAAAAAAAAAAAAAAAAAAAAAAAAAAAAAAACAACCCTCAAGACTCCTTTTGTAGCTCTATGAAAGGTTTCTGGCCAAGGTTCATGAGAGCACGTAACATCAAGAGCTTTTTTATTTGAAAAGTTCGCTGACCCTTCCCAGTCCTCTCCTCACACACTTACTTTTCCATTTCTCAGTCCATTTACCTTGCTCTTCCTCAGGTTTCCTTGCTGAGTTAGTCAGCACATGAAAAACCCATGTTGGTTTGGGCATGTTGTAGTAGCACAGGCCTGTACTTTTTCCAGAAAACACAGCCACCACCCATCATGCTGTAACTTAATTACTTCATACCACAAGAAGTGTTTCCTACATAGGTTAATCTTTAAGGTGGCAATAACATTTGGTTTTTCAAATTTCTACTGGACCCCAAAGTGAAGAGATTTCTAGTTTCAGCTGTTTGTTTTACATAGCTTCTTATCCAGTGGATAAGATTGTAAATTGTCCTTATACTAGTTGCAAATCAGAGTGTGTTGTATTTGTTTTATACTGAGGTGGTGCCTTAATTATAGGCCATTCTCGGCTTTCTTATGCATAACTTTATAATGTGATTCCTAACATTTTATGGCTATTTAATATGATGGGTCTTGTTATGATACGTACTTGTTCTTTGAAGTTCCAGAAACGTGATCAGGAACTTAATAGATACTACAAGAAGCAAAATTCACTTACTTCCCCACTTTTATGTTGTTGTTGTTTTTTTTTTATTTATTTATTTATTTATTGGTACTAGGGATTGAACTCAGGACCTTGTACTTGCCAGGCAGGCGCTTATTCTACTGAGCTATCACCCCAGCCCTTCTCCCACTTTTAGATGTAAATTTTATGCATAAAAGCTTTAAAGTTTCAAAAGAACTTTTTGTTGTTTATTACTTTCAGATATCAATGTTTTCTTGATATTTGTTTCATGTACTGATATTTATCCCCCGTTTTCCTATAGAATCTGAGACATCCAGATTCTCATTCCTAATCCTTCTCCCTCTGTCTTATACATAAAAACTTGCACACAGCCATGATTTTACTTCAATGTCTACTTTAATACAATACACCACTACACTTGACCATTCTCCTATTACAATCTGTTTCTGGACAAGATTTTAAGAAATCACAATTGTATGTGTGGGCACATAACTGTATTCGGTTTCAGTTACTGTCTTTTAGTGTTCATATCTCCTCTTATATATTCTTACCAAAAATAGTTTTTGGACAGAGCTCTACATGGTAGAAAATTATTTTACTTTTAGAAAGCACCCTGCTTTCAGAATAAATGAAAAATCCTTGTATTATTTGTCCTTGTATTTTCTTTTTCTGTTGCTTAAATAATAATTGTTGTGATGTTCCTTTAATGAAACTATTGTTGCTATGATTTTTCTCGAAGTTGCTACTTTCTTCTCCCAAATCTGCCTCTTTCCCTCATCCAGAAATATCAGGGCTAACTCCTGATAATGGCCTATCTGAAATTTGTAAGTCACAGAATCATTTAAATCCTTTAAAATGGTCAGTAAGTGCTAAGTGAATTTCTGTAAGAAAAAAGGAATCACTTTTTTCTATTTCAAAAATAAAATTCCTTCTGAATTTTGTTCTTAGAAGACATTAATTCTTTTTATTCTGTGGCATAATAAGAAAACTATTGGGGAAAAAAAAAAACAAGGGTAAAGGGGGCCGGGGAGATGGCTCAGTGGAATAAGCGCTTCCCTGGCAAGCTCAAGGGCCTGAGTTCAATCCCTGGTTCCGGAAAAAAAAAAAAAAAAAACTATTGGAATGAACTCATTCTTTTCACAAGCAAAATGGATATTAAAACCAAACCACATTCTAGTCCACAAAGTATTATTTACTTGCTAGTTCAAAGAAAACTAGAGTGCTTATCTTTAAGAATATTAAAATAATATTGTTATTCAGCATTTCCTAACATCTGAGGCTACATTTTGAATTACATTTTATGTATGATTAACTCATTTACTGGCAATAGATATACAATGTGAAGCAAAACAGAAATACTTAAGTTATCAACCTCTTGGTTGATAACTTAATTCGTGTGTGTGTGTGTGTGTGTGTGTGTTACGCATGTAAATGTGTGTGAAAAAGAATGTCAGGTCCAGCATGGAGGAGATTATTCAAAACTAACATAGCAATGGGAACAGCACTGGAATATTGGGTAATGAGGGCCATAACTACGAATCAACAAGAAAAATGAGGATTCTCAATTCTGTATTGTGTTCATGGAAAGAAGTAGGATAAGTGAATGTCATTGTCATAAGCTGGAAGAAGCTGCTCGTTCACCCAGGCAATAACACTTTTTGCGGTAAAGAACAGTTCGTTTCTACCTGAGCTGTGCTCCTCAGCCCTGCTTTTTGATATTACTTGCTTTTATTACAGCCCCAGAATCTCAGACTTTACCGCTGCCACAGTCAACAAAAGGTAATGAAGCTTCCTTCAATTAGTTGTAAACGGATGCTATTTCTTTAATACCATCTAATCTTGACTTTGTAGCTTTGGCTTGTTTTGAAAATGTTGCTTAATTGTTCTTCAGATTTTTTTCCAGCTACTTTTGCCAGAATATCTATGTTATGCCCATGCTTTCCTGAACAAGGGCTCTGAGACAGACACCAGTGCAAGCTATCCCGATTATGATTGATATCTTCTTTCTTATCCTGCCTTATATTTGAGGAATTTGTCCTTGGCTTGTTTTAAGCTGTTATTTCCAGCGAAGGCTCCTGAGTTCCCTAGGAAATATTTGCACTTTCTACTTCGGGAGTTGTTTTTCCTAACTTTCCAAAATTCTTACATTTGCAGGCTTTCTTGGAAAGCGCTATGCTCTTCCAGATATAAATACCCTCACGTGTCACTAGGAAACCCATTTAAAGTGAAACATGTGCGTGCGAGCGCGCACTTGCATGCGCGCGCACACACACATATACACACACACTGGATCATTATAGCTTTTTTTTTTTTTTTCAAAAGAGCAAAATAAATGTGTTTGGTGCCACCTTAACCAATTACCCAGATTTTCCTTTAATATGAACTGGTTATTTTATTACATTCACATCTTCCAAATGAGAATCATGCCTGGCTTTTTTTTCCATTTCTCTTTCCAAACTGAACTGACTGGATACAATTTTATTCACTTTTTCTAAAAGCACAGGAGTCAATTTCAAAAGAAAAGGTAGTCTTTATATAAATAAAAGCACACCATTTATATTTGCTCAATCTAGTTAATTCAGTACCTCCTGTCTTTTTACTTCTTAATGATTGTTAATGGAGTTTTAGCACTGGGAAAACTGGGAAGTAAACCTTTGCTGACATTAGGTTATACAATTATAACCCAAACGGTGACCTTTGCTTCCTCCCTTCAACACTGTGGATGTCTGTATTGTCAGGGTCACATTCATATATTTATTCATTAATAGCCACTTGTGTTTATATGCTCTGTTATTTCTGGAAAAAAATGCTAAATTCTGTGTATATATATAGTTTATAAATCTACCTCATTTTTTTAAAGTTTTGTCCCTTGAAAGAACTTCTGAATTCAAAGCTGTTTGCATGTATTACTGGTTGGAATATTAAAATATAAAGTGAAAAACTTCTTTTGAATATTAATCCAAATAATTTTTTATCACTAATAGCTTCTCTTCTCATACACCCCTTCAGCATCTACCTGCAAAATTTTACGTGACTGCCTCCTGTAAATTGTACACAATGTTTTTAAGTTTTTCCATATCAAGTGGAAGACTAGGGAGGTCTCTTGGACAGTTTAAAAATATTGGACAAAAAATTTAATAACCTGACTGGGTAAATAATGAGAAAAAACTTAAAAAACAAAAGGATATGCCCACCATAAATCAAAGGGTTTAAGTAAACTTCTAGGATATGAAAATATTTATCATCAGTTTGGAAAGCCGCACTTCCTGTGTTAACTAGTAATTTTCTTTCTTCAGCTCCACCAAAGACCAAACGACCTGGTCGTCGACCCCGCCCTAAAACTACACGTAGCCCAGAAGTACCCAAGTCCGAACCTGGTAAATGTGGTGTTCAGGGTTCCAACTGATACCCAAAGTGGCATTGGTAGCTTTTAATTCAATAGCTCCTAGTTACCTGAGCAGCCGGACATTAGGAACCAATAATACTTGATTTTTATATTTTAACATCAATACTTACTTAGTATATGCATGCTACATATGGTATATTTGATAAAGCATTGTATTTTGTTTGTAATTATTAACTACATATAGTAGGAAGCCCCTCCTAAGTAAGTTATTAAAATAAGGCATTTCAAAATCTTACATTTGATATATATTCACAGAAGATGAAGTATGAGGAAGTAAGCGGGAGAGTGGAGTAAATGGGATAATTTTTAAAGGGAAATCATACTGTGAAAAAAGTGCTTGTGCGAGGTAGAGCACGCCAGCTTGAGGCATGGCTTCTCCTTCCTCTTAACGCCACTTTGGTTATTCTGGGTGATCTTGGCTTTTTGCTTCTATCACTCTTGAACCAGCCCCGGTATGGAGCCCCTGGTAGCCAGACTCCGTAAGTCTACCCCTTTCAAGTGCTTTCCCAGGTTGTCTCTGGCTTTTCCACCTCCACCCCAGGCATGACCACATTTCTACCATCTGTCACAATTCTATCCATGCTTCCTCCCCATTTTCTGAGTCTGAACAACCTGAAGATAGGAGAGTTTCACAAGAATCTGATGTGCTCACTTTGGGAAGGTCTATAGTTTCCAACATGATTTCCTGGCTCTCCGCTGACCTTCCATCCCCCCCGCCACACATGTGCTGGTATTAAGCAAAACACCAGCTCTTTCCCTGGAACTTCTGTGCTCATTCCAGGCTGAAAAAAAAAAGACTCTTTTCCTTAGTGCTGTGTTGTAACTTCATTGCTTTATTCACTGAGTTTGTGAGACTCTCTAAATGGCTATATGAATAATGACTTCTTCAGTTTTTCTGTTTCTTAGAACAATGCTCTTGAGCATGTTTAGATAACTGTAGGCCATTTTTTGTCTGGGGCCCAAGACCTAGTTGTAGTCTTTCAAATCTGAGGACATTAGAAGTCCCAAGATGGGCTGGTGAGATGGCTCAGTGGTCTAAAGCACCTACTTAGAACAAGCTTAGCAAAGCACAGGGACCGCGGTTCAATCCCCCAACACCACATGCCAGCCTGCCCTGCCCCCTGGTGGGCTGAGCTGGCCACACACATACACACACACACACACACATAAATAAATAAAAATTTAAAAAAAAAAAAGAAGTCCCAAGATGGTTTTCTTTTATTTTTTTTTAGTACTGATGACTATAATTGTTTCATTGTAACTTCTCAGCATTTACAATCAATTTGTCACTCCTTTGCTTTGAAAACTTCCAGAAATTAGTTGCAACGTAACATTTTTATCCTGTATAACCTCAAGTGTTTATGAATTACTTTTTAGATTTCTTCCTAAGCAATTTTTAGCAACCTATAATGCTATTTTGTATTAAAGAGAACCTATCAAGAACACAATTAACAAACTTTGTTGTTTTTGAAATGATTTACATAGGAAAAAATACCTTATGACAGTTATCAGTACTTACTGAGAGACAGGCTTTAAGTGTATTTTTGAGAGGAAACTTAAGCATTTTCCTGAAAGGAAAATTAATGATACATGTGTTTAGCTAAAATGAAGACTTTTTCCACCCCTCCAATACAACATGGCTTAATTTTTATATCTCCACTGAATTTATATGGTGTCTTTATTTAACTTATATTGTCTTTAATTTTGACAGACACAACCAAGACCATTCTGCTAATTTTTGATACCTTTTTCTTTAGCACCTAAGCCATCTAAGAGACCTAAAACTCCACACAGACCAGATGTACCCCAAATTGAGCCTGGTAATCATTACTTTCAATACCTTGACTCTTATTAATAAGAAAACTGTATGTAAATTACTATAAAATTCACCCTTACAGATCACCTATGGCATTAACTACAGCACACTCTTTTTCTTCAGATTCAAAACCACCAATGCAATTACTTCCTAAGCCCCAGGTCACAGCAAATCCAGATATTCCACCAACACAATCTGGTAAACAATTTCCAATGTTTTAGTTTAACAAAATGTTTTCATTTAGCAATGGTATTGAAATTTTTGCTATAGATGTTTATATATTATATAAACATAAAAACCCAAGTACATGATTTTGTTGATTATTGTCTCAAACTAGGTGCAATAACATTTTAAATGCTAAGTGAATAAATCAGTGCATAGATGGGAAATCAGTCAATGTTATATCTGAATACCTGATAGTTTTCTTTTTTGTTTTTTTTCCTTTCCTCCCCTCCCCTCCCCTCCCCTCCTCTCTCCATCCTTGCATTCCCTCCCCTTCCCTCCCCTTCCTTCCCTTTCTTCTCTCTCTCTCTCTCTCTCTCTCTCTCTCTCTCTCTCTCTCTCTCTCTTTCTTTCTCTTTCCTCTTTAAGGCAGGGTTTCAGTTTATATTCTAGACTGACCTTGAATTCTCGGTAATCCTCCTGCCTCAGCTTTCTGAGTGCTGAGATTACAGGCATGTGCTACAACATCTAGCTCCATTTTCCTAAAGCATATGTACGCCTCATATTGTGTACTTGTAATGAGCAGAAGGTTTAAATTTTCCGTATATGGAAACTTTTGGCAGTGGTGTTGGCAATTACTATTAGATAATACATACCCAAGGCTGAGTCTGTGCTCTTCCTTGGTAGACTGACTTCCTTTAACTTATCTAACTGAATTTCAAATAATAATTATTAACTGACTGATATTTCACTATGTAACAAGATATTTGTACAAAAATTCTAAGAATTTCAATATTTTATAATTAAGTTTTTTTCTAAGTTTTCAATACCACAAAGTGCTTGTTTGATAAGAGAGAATGTCTCATTTAGTAAATTGACATCAACTTAGCATGAATCAGTTTCTGCATGTGCTAAATTAAACATTAATAAGTACCGAAGAGCTCCTGACTTGTTTCTTTTTGTTTTCTTTGAATGATGCAGCCTTTGATCTGGTTACATTCGCGACTCAGACTCCATCCATAGCCATAGGTAATGATGCCTTCGTGGTCTGTAATTCTCTGAGCTTGTCCTTCCCGCCTCTTTCATCATTACCTGTTTTCTTGTATTTGCAATCATCATTCAACCTCTTTTCCATTTGTTTCTAAAAATTGTTGACTATTTTCAACAGAGGTCATTTTAACATCAAGGTGGGCTTTCTCATCTGCTCAGCTTCTAACATCTGAATAGTATTTTTCCCTCAGCCCCCTTCAGAGACATTCAGATTGCTTGATACTGTTAAAAAGTGTCCAGTGCTCTGACCATCCATTCTTTCTAGACCAGGAGATTTTACTTGTATTTGGGCACAATTTATAGACATAAGGGGAAGCAAAGAAAACCCGGCTGGAGCCTCTGATGATGGCACATCATTGTCACTGCCTTGTGAGACTTCTTTCTTCCTGGGGTCCATACTATTCAAATGCAGTCAAACTTTTCCATTGATTATTTATCTCATAACACTAAGTTTCAAACAAAATAAGTATTGTATGTTTCTGTTTGAAAGCAAATCAGTTATAAATATTTTTATGGGGCTGTTCTGGGTTCATCTTCTCTTCTGCATGCCATTAATTCTTTTTGCCATTAATTCTTGAATATGGCTTTAATTAACTTTGCGCTGTGGAATTTAATCAGGAGAAGTTAGTCTCTGTGTGACTGTATAAGGTATTTCCAATGGTGGAAAATTTGAATACTATATGTGGTCTCCTAATTTCAATGAAAAAAGAGACTCTAATATCAAATTTCATTCTTAGTAAATTTTGTATCTATGAATAACCATTCAGAATAGTATAGATATGTAGGAACCCTGTTTATCTAGACAAAAACTTACATTATTACCTTGCAAAATTTTTCTTAATCATCTCCATTCATAACTCAAATAATCTCCTATTGAACCATTTGAGATGAATAAATGAATAAGAAAAAATGATAAGCAACTTTATATTTATTATGATAAAAAAGGCACAACTTACCTTTATACTACACTTTTATAGCTCCAACAAATATACAGATTAACATCATTTTCTGATACCTCCCCCATCTTCTAATGTTCTAATCAAATTAGTAAAAGTGGTGAAATCCTTCCAGATAGCATCAAATTTTATAATATTATTTTTAGAATAATTTGAACACAGAAAAATACTTTTGTTGAGCCTTATATATATGCAACATAGAAATGGTACATCTGTCTTATATGATAAATAGATACAACAGCTTGGCCAGTTAGTGGACACAACAATTGTTGTTTTCCCAGAGTTCAAAAATGCTTTTCTAACACTAAATAGTAATAAAGACACATAACTGATGGAAGTGTATAAACTATGATAAAAATACATTTAATGTTTACATTTTAAAAAATATTATAGCAAAACATATATTGCCATTAATATCCTTCAAAATACTTCTTGCTTCAAACAGGCTTATCTCATTGTTTTTGTTATATTCTGAAGTAGTGCTGAAGGTCCTCTTGTGTGAGTGTCCTCAGTTGTGCTATCCTGGTTGGCTGGATTATTCAAAATGTTTATATTTCATGGTCATTTTGAATTTGGGTAAGAGCCAAAAGTTACATGGCACCAGATTCAAGGAATACAGTAGGTGAAGATACACCACAAATGTTTTTACATAAATTGTCATGAACATTTGATCAATGAAGGGTGTTCAATACTAAGGTGAATAAAAGACACATTGTATTTATCCATTCAGAATACTGCCCCTCACAACAAACACATTTATTCTACAATTTTTTGTACTATGTCTTTTATTGTATTTTTTTTATTTGAACACTCAAGATGTTTTTTCAGTCATGCCTTCTAAAATGATATTACCATTTTGGAAAACAGTGTGACAATTTCTTATGAAACTAAACATGCAGCTGTCATATGACCTAGCAATTTATACTCTTGGATATTTGTCCCAGAGAAATGAATACTTGTGTTCATAAAAGAATCTGTACATGCAGAGACCAAGGTTCAACCCCCAGTATACTGTGCCAGTCCTGCTCCCAGGGGCATGCTGAGACTGTGATTGAGACTGGGCTTGTTGGCGCACACCTATAATCCCAGTGCTTGAAAGGCTGAAAACAGAAGGATCATTACAAGTCTGATCTGTGTAGTGAAACCTTGTGGACCCTATACTAAACACATTAAAAAAAAAGAATTTGTACAAAAATGCTCAAATCAGCTGTACTCATAATAGCCTCAAACTGAGTTTAGTCAAGATATCCTGTAGTAGACAAATTGTTAAATAACCTGCAATACAGCCTTACCACGTAACACTACTTAGCAATAAAGTGGAACAGACAACAGAAAAAATAAAAAGAAAGGCCCTTTAAATATGATAAGCTTAAGAATATTTGACTTTAAGATATTTTTTCTGTATCTCTTAGTCTATGTTGTTTATTGTATTGCTTTTGATCAGTTCCTACCACAGGTACTGAACCTGCAATTCTAAGAAATGAGGCTCAAGTGACAACATTAGGTAATAATATTTTATGTTGTTAAGCACCTGTATGTTCTGCTCATTGTATATTCTGACATTATCTTGGGGAATTTAAGGATGGTTGGCTTTATATGATTCTTCTCATTATTCTCTCATCATCAAACTATATTTCTCATTTTAAGTATTTATTGAAAATACTAAAAAGAAGTACTTGGTTATAAACCTGTAAGCAAAAAATAAATAAATAAATAAATAAATAAACCTATAAGCAGCTAGTACACAGACTCTATCTCCCATATTAGTTGGATCTATTAATTTTTATAGAGCCTGTGGGTCTACTCAAGTAAAGCTGAATTTCAAATATGTATAGGAATGTCTATCCTTTAAACATCAAGTATAATCCTGTGGGCATCTTACTGTCTGCTCTTTTATGATATGTGGGACAATTTTATTATGTATTAGTGATTTCATAAAATTAAATGTGCTTATTCTAGTAATTTTAATGGATCTGTGCCAAACCAAGTGATTTCTAAAAATAGTCTTCCAAAAGCAGCTGATCCTATGTTGTCCTATGATATAATCTTAACATATTGTGTATCTGAATTTCTTTGTATCTGTGACCTTTTCTGATAACCTGATACCAGCAACTACTAAAAGTTTTCAGAACAGTAAAATGATATATGTTTGTCCTTATCAAAAGAAATTTTAGTAGAATGCAAAAATAAAAAGGTTTTATGGGGCCAGAAAGATAGCTCAGCAGACTAAAGTACCTGCTTAGGCAAGCTTAGACAAGTGCAGAGACTATGGTTTGATCCTGGCACCACCTACTGCACCAGTCCTGCCCCCTGGGTGGGCTGAGCTGGCCAGAGTCCAGGCATAGAGACGCATGCCTGTAGTCCTAGCACTGGAGAGGCTGAAAACAGGTGGATCACTGAGTCAGAACTGCATAGTGAGATCCTGTAACAACCAAATACATAAAAAAAAAAATAGACAAACAAATAAATAAAGGTTTGACATATAGACTACCAGAAAAGCATTTTAGTTCAAAGAGACAAGATCGGGCTGGCCAGATAGCTCAGTGAATTAAAGCGCCTACTTAGGCAGACACAGGGACCTGGGTTCAATCCCTGAGCCTGCTATGCCAACACCAGCCCTGGGGGTGTGAGGAAAGTGGGAATGATACTGGGTATGGTGGTGCGTGCCTGCTATCTCAGTGCTTGAGAGCCTGAAAACAGGAGGATCACTACGAGTCCCATCTACGATCTATGCAATGAGACCTTCTAGATTCTGCAGACCTTCTACCAAATACATAAAAAGAACAAAGAAAAAAGAAAATTTTTAGACTGGGCATGGTGGCATGCGCCTGTAATTCCAGAGCTTGGGAGGCCAAAAACAGGAGGATCACTACAAGTCCAATCTGTGTAGTGAGACCCTGTAGGCCCTGTACTAAATACATTAGAAGAAAGAAAGAAAGAAAGAAAGAAAGAAAGAAAGAAAGAAAGAAAGAAAGAAGAAAGAAAGAAAGAAAAGAAAAGAAAGAAAAAGTTCTCATAGAGCAGTCACAAATAGATAAAATTTTCTCATTTCTCATGAAGAGCAGGAAAATTTTTGCTATGAGTTTTTTTTAATTAAAAAAATTTAATGTATTTGGTACAGGGTCTCACTATGCAGCTTGGACTTATAGTGATCCTCCTGTTTTTAGCCTCCCAAGCTCTGGGTTTACAGGTGTGCACCAACAGGCCTGGACTCTGTGGCCTGTTAAGCACACACAGGGGCTGGATCAGTGTGGCATGTGGTGCAGAGAATCAAACCCCCAAGTCCCTGGGCTTGCCTAAGTAGGCACTTAGTCCGCTGAGTAAATATTTGAAAACCTAATGTCATGTAATTCTTTCTTTAGCTTCTGGAGTCCTGTAACTATAATAATCAGTTTCATTTCTTTAGCTCCAAAAATAACACAACGAACAAGAACTCGTCGTCCACGGCCCAAACATAAAAGCACAGTAAGCCCAAAGGTTCATCAGACTAAACCAGGTAAATAATATACTCTTTCTAACCTTGTGGCATGCCATTAGGCATGGTATTGGATTGTCAGCCTAACATGCCACCCAATAACTTACATGACTTTAAGGTTGAAGGCCCAAGACAGTGATACAGAACCTTCTGGAGCTTTCAGTGATACAAACAGGCCACATTAGCACAGATGACATAGGTTCACTGCCACTGCCCCATAAAGTATAGCTACTACTAGATGTGTGTGACTTCCTCATGTTATTTTCATGAGGATTTCCTCATTACCTGAGTATTTTATTTGCTATTCTGACATTTAACTACATTTCACTTTTTTGGAAAACTTACCTAGTTAAGTATCTAATTAGCAAATTTAATACAAGTGGTCATGCATTTTTATTAAATACTACATTAGCAATAAAGTACTTATTAGAGGGAGAAAGCTATTTTTTGGAGACCATAAATAGTTGTAGGCAGAAACATATACTTGCATGTGTTTTGCTATCTGTTATGCATATAGTTAATTCTTAGAGAAGCAAAACTTTCATGGGTTATTTTGTATAGACCTTGAAATCTGAACTGCTTGTAGATTTATTACCACAATTAGCAGAAACTGTTTAAACAAAGAACAAGGTGCTAAGTGTACATGGCACTAGGCTACAAATTTGAAGCTCAACCTGGATGTGAGGAAGGTAATGTCTGCGTTCTCCCTTGTGGGCAGGGATACTACTTTTAGAAAGTCAAGAAAGACTTCGAATATTTGATTTCAGTGATTGGATTTGAGCCACTAACTTGCACTTCTATTCTCCAGTGTCAGGCCTTTTCTGTCCTGATAATAGAGAAATGTACAAACAAGGTGCATGGACTAAGTGGCTTCTGTAATTACCTCTTTGTATGCCTTCGTTAGACAACAATATTGGTCTTTTTCCAAAGTGGACTCTCAATTAAAAAGAAAGGCATTGTTTATTTTGGTTGTTCACCACTCTGTCTGCTTCAGTGTATCAGCAATTGTATTTACCATGACCAAGGCTTTGTTTTCCAGTCTATAGTGTTATACACTATACTTTCATGTGTTTTGCTCATAATCATTAACCATAATACTATTATGTAAGTGTCTAAGGAGTTTTCTAGGCATGATTATCTATTGTACTATCAGATTATATTTTTAAAAAATAAGAATTGTAGCTAGCCATGTGAAAATTCTAGGACTATATCCAGGTCTTCTGAGTAAATATCTGTGAATCCTCACTTAAAAACTTTAAAGACCTAAGGATATAGCTCTGTGGTAGAAGAGCACTGGGTGCAATCTTCAGTGCCAAGAAAGAAAAGAAGGAAAAAAGACTTTCAGATTTTTCTTTCTGGCTACAGGAGCAATGCTATACAACTGAACTTCATTTTTAAGAAAATTGATGGATTTTTTTCATGTGTTTGATATTTTCCTTTTAAAATTGTTTTTGGTCATGTCTTACACCAGATTTTGGACCAATTACTCCTGGACCATCTTTAGGTAATGACTCTCTATGTCCCTCAGCAAGTGCTTGTTTTTAATTTGGTGTCAAGCTTTCCTGTGGTTCTGAGTAGATGATTGTGCCACCCTCTGTTGTTATCCTATTACACAACTCATCTTAAAATACGGGAGGTTTTCTTCCTTTTTATAGAAATGTATCTGGACTGAATTTAAGGCAGCTATCTGTTCCATATCCCAGTTTAAAATTGTGTCATGTCAATCTGAGTCTTTAAAACATACTGTTAGAGGCGAGATCCAAGTATATGTTCCCATATGTCTCCCATTAGACTGCAAAATTCAGTGCCAACAATACCATGTAATTTCTTTAATCAGCTTACTTTCTATCTTTCAAGTCTATACAACCATGTTGGCTTTGCTGATGTCTCAGAGAATTGTATATACTTATTCTAGTAAATTAGCAAGTGAAAAATTTGCTCAAGCCTAGTCATCTTAAATTATAGGTGAGTACTCTAAAGTTGGCTTGAATTGTTCACACATTATTGGAGTTTGCAACCAGTTTTGGGTTAGGAAAACTTTTAAGAAAATAATGATATTCTCTAAAATTTCTTAAACATAATTATATGTACTATCTTAGTCTCTGTCTACTATCAGAAGCAAGATACCAAAGGAGAACATTTTAAACTAAATTATAAAGTTTTCTCAACTCAAGCTCTCAAATTTTAGGAATCTTAAAGCTATAATCACCCTAGTTACAGTTTATGGAGTCATAAGCACCATATTAACCCTAACTTTTCTTCCTTCAGCTCCAACAAAAAGGACCCATCGTCCACGTCCCAAACCTAAAACCACGCCCCATCCAGAAACACCTCAGACAATCCTGGGTAAATATGTGATATCCACTTTAGAGAATCTGTGAAGCCTATCCAGTTGGAACCCTAAATTTATGTACACATGATACATTAGGACACACCTCATATATTTCCTGGCGGTAAAAGTTGCTTATTAATGAAGAGAACTTGAGATGACTAATTGTATCATGCTTCCTTCTTGGGAAACTTCTCTACCAATGACCGTATTGTTTACTCTCCACATGATTAAATTCCATTTCTGTCTTAAACATAAAGTTGCTCAGAGTGTACTGAGCCAACTTAATCAGTCAAATCAATTATTTTTATTAAGTCTTTTGTAATTCTCCCAAACTATATGAGCCTGTACGTCAGAAATGGGAGGTATTTTTAATTACTAAATCGCTTGCACTATAGAATAGTAAATAAAAGCTGTTCTTGCATAAACAGACAGAAATATAAGCCAGAATGTGCATGTAAATATAAAATAAGTTCTTTAAGATACAATGCTACATCTAGGAGCATGGTGAATATTTTTTGCATAATTTTATTGAGAAACAAATAACAATGAGACAGTTTCAAACCAAATTGGTACGACACTTTCAATAATTAACACATTGCATACATTCTTCCTAATGATTAATTGCTGTACAAGATGTGGACATGATATCCTATTTACAAACGCTATTAGAACAAATCCCTCTATTCATTAAGGGAATGTAACTATATATCTATCCTAACCATTGTAAATACGCAGATACAAAATGGACATTCATCTGTATCCCCTTTTTTTGTTAAGTTCCATTATTTGAATATTATAGGTGGGTTAACTCAGCAAAATATTCTAAAAGAGTCCAGTAGCCCATAATAGTATTGGGTCTTCCACTTGACTGGCAATGTCAGAAATTGTTGACCTGAGTCCCCTACAGCTCAACATAACACCATGGCTTTACTTCTTATACTTCATTTTTATACTTTTCTGCTGGATGGTTAAAACCAAGATAAAGCAGGACCTATGCAACAAGAGTTGTAGCTTTTGAGTCTGATAAGATCAGTGAAATCCCATCAGGATTTATCCTGAGATCCTGTACCTCAGATTGTAGAACCTTTGTCAGTGTTAGCCATGTGGATGAGTCATGGCCATTGCTTGGCCAATGTGCTCTCTGTGAAAGTCTGAGAGAATATTTTCTCTCCATGTGACTCTCCTTAGGAATGCATGGGGAATATTTAGAGGAGAAATATATCCAGAATAACTGTGAAGCACACAACATACAATTTGGATAACTGGCAGGCTGAGGGAACAAAGGCTGAGTAAAGGGCAGCCTGTTAAAGGAGACTCCACAGCCAGAGGGTGGCTTATCTATGCTCTCTTGTTGGATGGACCATAGGATGAGTTACAAGGTGTTGGGAGCCTACATTTGGTCCACTGAACAAAACTTAGGCTTTAGTGATTTTTACTTCTGGATAGGAACATGCTCTTTCTGTCCTTAGAATGGAAACTGTTCATCCTAACTATGACACAGAGTGAGAAGTGTTTCCTCATCTTGTGTTAGGGCAGGATGTACTTCTATAGACTTTAGCCCCTAGTAAGTATAGTCTCAGCTTCCTTTTGGCAGTCATTATGTGTGCTGCACAAATCCTGGGGTGACACCCAATGATTCCTTCCTTTTAGTATTAATACCTTTTTATAATTCATAATGTGCATTCTTTCTCTCTCTCCTGTGCTAGCATGACAGACACATAGTGGGTGACAGCCTATCATCATTTTTTCTTCTGTTACTTAGAGGCAAATCACAGGTTGGGCACATATTCAAGGGGTAGGGATAGGGGAGATTACACAAAGGTGTTAATACCAGGGGCAAGAATTATTGGTACTCACCATATTCTATTAGACTAGATTTACATTCAAATATCTGAAGTGTTTATTGAATCTGTCATTTTTTATTACTGCAAATAGCTGATTTTGTAGGGCCTGGCTTCTACAAAAGAGCTAATTGTCTTGGTCATATATATTTCTAATGATGAATCAGATTTTTATTATTAGAATGAAGAATTGTTCATGCTAGATCAAATCAAATAGTTAACCAACAATGAAATTTTAGAGTTGGCCCCAAGGAGCTGCTCTGCAGTCTAAAGACTATGACTATCTTCTGAATAAAGGAGGTACCAACTTAGAGTCTGGCAATTTAGTCAAAATTTAAGAAATTTACTTTCTCTTAAATTATGAATATTAAAAATTAACATTGCAGCCCTAGAAACCCCATTTTTACAGATAAGATTCATTTTCTGCTACTTCATCCACTCACAAGGTCTCTTTGGTCTTTTACTACTTCTGAGCAGTTCCTGCCACAATCGCTGAACCAGTTATTCTTAGAACCGAGGCTCCAGGACCAACACTAGGTAATGGCAAGTGTCCGTTAGCATCTGCACTTCCTGCCCATTCCATCAGCATCATTCCCACTCTTCTTTCACTTCGCAAGGCTTCTGTGTCTTCCTATTATCCCATTCATACATTAAAATAACTTTGTTTTAAGGTGACCTAAGCATGAGCTTATTTTATCATCTGCAATGTGATGTCTTTGTATTTGTGGTGTCTGCTCCCATGTAACATTTTAATCACATTGTTCTCATTCCTGAATTTCAAACACAATCAGTTGGGGGTGGGATGGGGTATCTGTGCCTCACCCCCACTAAGTCATTGGCACCGATATTACGGTGTAGCTGTTCTTTTGCTGATCCAAATGGCTACATTTGTACTAGCTATGTGGTTTTGTTTTATCACTTTAGATACCTACAAAGTTTTGTTTAAGGAAAGAGTAAAGTAGAAAATATTCCTGGGGCTACCCCACTCCCAAAAATTAGCAAGACTTGGAACTTTTCAAAATTCAGAAGTCCTTATGAGAATCACTTTGAAATATCCTTACCATATCAACTCAGGTTCTGTTTGATTTTTGTTTTTCAGAAAATGTAAATGATTTATACATTATTTACAAAATAGGACCAAATATTTCAAGTGCAAAAAATAATTTCCTAAGACTCAAGAAATTATAAAAGTTTATAAAGCCACAATATTTGGAACCCCAAACACCGCTAACCTGAGATTTCCTTCCTTCAGCTCCCAAAGTGCCTCAAACAGCGCATCCACATCCCATACCAATAGCCACTTGGAGAACTGAAACGCTTCAAACAGAACTGGGTAAATGTGTGGAATTGGTCAAGGAATCTCAGCCGCCCACCCTATGGACTCACAGAGAGTACAGTGGCAAGTCAGGTGTATTGACTGGCTCCACACTGGACAAGACAATGAGGAGGAGGGTGGAAGAGATAGATACCACTGTTTGTATTCTCCATGAGTCAAATATTCTCTCCAACACCTATTTAATTTACTTCTCACTCAATTCTATTCACCCTCTAAATATTGGCTATTTATGGTGAACTGAAATAACTAGAAAGTATGTGTGTATTTATACCAATAGAAGATTGTTTCTTGGTAATTCTAGTGATGTGCATCCTAGTAAGTATCTAGTCCAGGCACTGGTGAGTATGGTCTGCAATAGTGTCTAAACATCAGTATTTCAGGCTTTGTGAGCTACCAAGTTTCTGCTACATAATCTTTTTTGGTTTATTTTTGTTTTTTCTAACTATTTAAAAATAGAATAATGATTCTTAGGGGAAAATCAGCCTGGGATGAGAATAATCTGGAAGTGCAGGAGGGTAGGAAATGTATGAGAGAGTTAGAGGAGGTGGAGTTTCATTCATCAATGGAGGCCTTCAGGCCTCTAGGTGTTGATCCAAACATCTTACTGAAGCTGCTATAACCAGGAACCAGGTGAGAAGACTGAATGTTAAAATCAAGAGTTTGGTTACATTTGAGAATCAACACAGAGTCAGGCTGTCTCAGGGTGTTGGACAGAGAGATGTCCTGTTGTGTCACAGAGTAGCTGCCCTTATCACCCCACTTAAGAGTCCTTTTCCAAAGATTGTTCAGTAAGATGAGTCTGATCCATGAATTTAGTACTTTTGCTTCAGTATAATGAAGTGCTTGATCCAAGCTACTGAGAAGAAGAGGTCTATCTAGCTCATGGAGTTGGAGGTTCTCTGTCCACACAGTGTAATACAGTTTCTGTGGTGAGGGGTGTTCCTCGGCTGCATTACTTCCTGGTGCAGATGACAGTGGCAAGTGCCTGTGCAGGAGGAGGTGACTGTATCTCAGACAAGAGGCAGAGAGTGTGGCAGGAGCAAGTCTTGCTTCTTTCATTATATTTCTCTCGAGGCCCCAAGAGATGGCATGAGAACCTCCAGTGTGCTTCACAAATTATCTCACTCCTCTGATGACCTAAAGTCTTCTCACTAGTCCAAGGGTCCCATCTCTTAAGACCATCACCCCACAGAGAACTACTTTAATCACAGTGGACCTTTATAGGACTTAAGCTATAGCAGTCTATGTTAGTTAGGCACCAATCATGGCTGGAGAAAAAGTTTATACGGACCATTATTGATACAAAATTAATGATAACTCCTTCCAAGAGATGATCATCTGCAGGCAAAGATGCCATACTCCCCAAGTTCAGGTTAACTTGGCTGGGATTCTTTTGGTAGCAAACGATCTAAGTTTTTATTAATTTTAATGTCTTTTGGTTGGATTTGTTGTTTTTGGCCAGTACCTACCGAAGTTTTGGAACAAGTCACTCCTGTAAAAGAGACTCCCAAAACAGCAATTGGTAATGTTACTTGCCTGACTTCACTACGCACTTTATATGCTTCTGTCAAACCCATCCTCTACTGTTATTTAATTTCATCCTTCATTTCATGAGCACTGAACATACATACACCAAATCGTCTCTTGTTTGCAAGACAGACTTTCATCAATCCAGTTTGGGACATTGTGTGTCTTGTAACTTTCTTAAAGCTTTTGTCATCACTATGTTTTTGGTTTAACCAGCATTCATTGTTAGAGAGAATTTCCTGTTTCTTAAGAGTAATTGACTGTAGTGTATCAAAATAAGCTACTGCAACAGGAAAGTTTCTCGGTACATCCTTTGTATGTCTGCCTTTTTAGTCTGGCTTTTTACAGTTTGTTAATATTCGGGTAGTGGATTTTAGTTAATTAAGTAATTGATATTGATGACACAGATTAATAGATTTAAGTAACAAAGTACAGTGTACTGTACAACTGGCTTCCCTCCCTCCCCACCAAAGTTAGATGACTCTCAACGTTTTTAACTAGGTCAAGGGATACGACTTATAGAAAATGCTCATCTTGACGTTTTGAATTGATAACTTTATTTTATACATCATTTTTCCCCTAAAGTGTCTTCAAAAACATAAGAAGGTACAATAACATATTAGGGGCAAACTACAGCACTAAGAAAATACATTTCTTGAAACTCAAGAAAACTTGCTAGGATTTGGACAATTTTAAGTTTTCTGAAACTATAATCTGCAGAAGCACAAGCTCTAAAATAAATAAAGATTATCTCTTTCCACTTCCAAAAATGTTCCAAAGGACACAAATATAAACTTACAATGATTCCAAGTCCAGATGTATTTTAGAGGACATCAATTAGTACAGAATCTTTGGTTTATGGTGCCCAGAAGCCAGTCACTATGAAAATTATAACATACCCCCAGTGATAGAATCATGAGATGCTATTATGTGCTCATGTTTGGTAATGAGTTTATGATTAGAAAAGATATGTAGACGCGCTCATCTAACTAGAGGTGGTAGGAAAGATGTCTTACTTCTCAGTCAGCAAAGTAGTGAATCATTTTAGTTACTTCAGCTGCATAGATATTTCAAAATGTTTTCTGCAGCCATGAGATGAAATACCTAGTAGACATCATCTTTAGTTAGCATCCAAACAAGTGTAAGTTAGCTTTCCACGTGCTTCTTGGGAATAGTTAGAAACGTATTTAAGTGCAGAGGTAAAAATGTCCTACTTAAAGTATTTTTTATTTGCTTCATATCATCAAGCAGTGTAATTAGAGGAATTGTTTCCCCTGAGTAACACTAAATGAGACCAAAGATGATGATCTCATGAGATACAACAGCTAACGATATACTCTTTGAAGCAATATTTCACTGGAAAGATTCATTTTGAAAGGAATGTTATTGAGCCCTGTCTGTCTGTCTGTCTGTCTGTCTGTCTGTCTGTCTGCTTCTCTGTCTGTCTGTCTCTGTCTGTCTCTGTGTCTGTCTTTCTCTCTCTTTCTTTTGCTGTGTGTGTGTGTGTGTGTGTGTGTGTGTTTGTAAAATAAACCAAAACTTTTATTTTGTTACTTCAAAATACAGACCCTGAACCTGTTACAGAACTTGAACCTGTCACTGTTAGAACTGAGACCTCTGGGATGACATTAGGTAATGAGCCTGTGCCCCTTAGCAAGTGCTTTTGTTGCTCATTGTACTGTCCATTCTATCCCTGACCCTATGACATGTCTTGTCCATCTTCATGAGATGGTTTCCATCCCTTTCTGCTGCCATCCAGGTCATTCCTTCGTCTGAAAAGTCTGAAGTATCTTAAAAGCAAGTTTTCTGTTGTTTTCATGAGTCAGGAGCATGAGCTTAGTTCCAAAATTAACTGGGAATTCAGCACGTTTGAAACTGTTACTGTTCTGTAACAGTATTCTGTGTAATAGCTGAATTCAGAAAAAAAATTAGGATCTATTTGGGATCTAGGCAGATCAGCAGTAACAGCTACTCTCATGGTCCTTTGCACACTCAGGTTTCCATGTCTTTTTTAAAAAAACATATTTGCCTAATATGCTTGTTTCTTTGTTGGTGCTTTAAGTAATGGTATGTTTTATTACTAAGCTAATAATTAGGAAATTACCCAAATTTGAAATCTTGAACTGTAAGTTTCTTTCTTAGCATGAGCCAGATTTCATCTCCTTTCATTAAATACTTCCCATTTTTTTACCAAGTGAAGAAATTCTATAATTTCTTGAAATCACTATTAATCTTCATGACTTGAATGAGTATTTAAACTGCATACATGAGTTTTACACCAAAAGCAGGATTAATGACAGCAGGAAGAAACACTGGAATAAAAAGAGTGGAAAAGTAAAACTAAAAGCACAATTTTCTAGAACTCTGGAAAATTTGAAATTTTCAGAAAAAATGCTCCTCCATATCCAGAAGCATAAGACCTAGAGTAAAACAAGGCTTTTCTTTCTTCAGCTACCACCACAATATCAAAAAGAACCCGTCGTCCACGACCCAGACCTAAAACCACACCACGACCTCAAGCGCCTCAGTCCAAGCCGGGTAAACTTGTAACTACTTGGGGTAAGGACACGGGTTGGCAGTTTGCCTTAATGAGGACCCAAATCAAAGCACACAAGGGCACTGATAATTCTTGTTCTCCCTGAGTGCGAGGACACAGACATCATCTGCTCTGCCTGGCTTTTAAGGAGAACATGACTGGGTGAAACCTATCTGGTGTCAGAAAACTATTTATTTTACTATGGGAGGCTCTTCTTTCAAACTCTATATTTAGTGCAGTTCTATCAAATTACACTCAAACCTTAAGTTGAAAGTTCTTCAGCAGAGTCAGTTTATTTATTTCAGGGAAACAAATTTTAACTCTCTTGCATATTTGCAGCCCACTTGAATGACTATTGGCAGAATGCCAACTGTAGATTTACTTTACTTTTAAAACAGTGGAATTGAGAATATGCTTGAAACAAGTTTAAAATGAATGATCTAGCAAAGGAAAGAGTTACTGCTGCCTGGATTTGGACCTTGGACCTTCACAGCAATAGGATCAATGCAGGAAAAGTGAACCAGCTCAGGAGAACTGGAGGTGCATGGGGTTAACTTACTTGGTGGAAGTAGCCATCAAGCTGGTCAGAAGAGAAGTTTTCAGATTTTATTCAGATACTCAGAGATGACACAAAGACAGCTGTAACCTTTAATTTGTACTTTTGCTAGGATTAGGACACACAGATGCTCTTCTAGGTATTGTAGGCCTTTATCCTGCTCTTTTACAAACCATCATTTGAACAAGTTTCAGACTCTTTATATAAATGAGTTCTTGGCAAGATCAGCACAGGTCACTCTGATGAATGGTTTTTATATCTGTTTCAAATGAATAAACTATCTATTACATTTGTGCTTACTTAAACATAATCCTATGTGTTCATCTTCCATACAAGAACAGGGCAATTATGCTTTCAAACATAATTTATTTTAAGTATATACTAAGTACATGGATTAAAATACTCACTAGATAGGGTTTTACATATCAATTAGAATTTATTAGTTTGAAACTTGGGAGAATTTCATGTTTGCTTGAGACACTTGAGATAATTCAAAGCTAAACCCAAAACTAACCATGACTAAATTTGCTGAAAGTTTCAAAGAACAAATATATATTCATTCCCTTAGTTGAGGAGTTAATTTGTTTTTCTTAGAAGAATTGATATACCAGTGATATTTGTATGAATATGAATGATCTGACCTATACCTTTTAAAATTTCTTTGGTTTCCTTTTTTTTTTTTTTTTTTTCTTCTTGTCAGTTCCTGCGATAGTTATTGAACCCGTCACTCTTAAACCAGAGGCTGCAGGAACAACATTAGGTAATACTGATAACTGCTTTCAGCAGCCTGGTCCTCTAATTGCAAAGCCTTTCATTTCATCTTGCTTCATGTGGCAACAGTATCATTCTTTGTGGCCATTCAATTAAATTCTTCTAAAAAGTATGAAGACCTAACACTTTTAATAGAACCCGTCATGCATAATCTGTTTTAGATCATTTTTTCTCCATGTAACCTACTCATAAATCTTCCATGTCATTCTGAGTTTTGTTCAAGAGGTGCTTGTCTTCAAGGTGTGCTTCAGATTTCTCCCGGATCCCTATGGCTTATCTCAACAGATAAAGTTATTAAGAACTTTCTTAAAACCAGGGTGATCCATTATTAATGTACATTTCATCTTTTTCTCACTAATTATATGTTACTGTTTCATTTCTACTTTGGTAATAATATGTTCTTATTTTAATAGTTACATAGAAAATAGGTCAAAGATTAAATTGTGAATCACAGATTGAGTATCCTATCATTCTTATTTGACAATGGCTCCTGGCCATTTTGGTGCCAGTCAAGCTGTCCTGTGAGACTTTGTAATTACTAACCTTTATTTCTTCGATTAAATGATGGTTTTTGTCCTTAAAGAATCTCCTGTGATAAAGTAGAAAAGAAAGGGAAAAAAATCATGTATGTGTATACACAGGACAGCTAAGATAATTGTACTACTAATTTGTACCAGTTTTTTAAAGGTAGAAGTTGATGCTTAAATTTTTTACTTTGACTAATTCTACATGCTTGTATCTGGTAATATAAGCAACTACACTGAAGACAACAATGTGCAATACAACAACCACTGTTGACAACTAAAAAGAAGAAAAGAATTTCCTATGATCAAAATGATACATAATAAGTACATATGACAAAAATACAAAACTGAAAAAGGAAACATCTGACAAGATATAAAGTCTAGAGTCATACTTTCACTTCCCATAACTTCCAGAATCCTAGATAATGTAAGTATGAAGTAATATGAAAATTTCTTCCTTCAGCTCCCATGCCATCACAACGGACACGTCGCCCACATCCCAGACCAAAACCTATCCCAAGTCTCGAAGCCCGTGAGTCTAAGCCAGGTAACCCTGTGGTCTCAGTGTAAGAGCCAAAGCAGTCTAACATAGCTGCACCTCAGAGTGATCCCACTGGCTGGGAGTAAACAGTTCCACTCTGTGAGAGTGAAGATGCAATTCATGTGCAGCAGCAATTCCTGTGGTGTAGGAGCCAAGAGGAGCACAGCTTGGGGAGAGTTGTGGGCAACTAAACACCTCATGTTTCCTAGTTCCAATCTGCTCTGTGGCCATGCATCTTAATGACTTCTGTTTATGTCTCGAAAATAAAACCTTCTTAGAAAAATTAGCATAGTTAAAATTTAAAAAGATTAAGAGTCTTCAGTGTCCTCTGACCTCTAACACTTTGGTATTATACTCCAGATGTAGGAGTCATGTTTTGATCCTCAAACTGCAAGACAGTTCATGACAGAAACCTTTTCTTTATAAATAATATAGAAAATGGCATTAGGCAGCATTTGTGCAAATACAAGGCTGGTATTTGGATGCCACCGACCAATTGTGCTCCATATAAGTATTTGGAGGAGGGAAATAAAGGAGTGGCATCTTGAAATCACTCTTGGACATGAATGAGTAGAATGATGTAAGGAATAAAATCAGAGAAATGAGCAGAGATAAACCAGAGGAGCCTGCTGGGATACTGGTATAATGGGTGTCTTCAAAGTGGTGTGCAAAACCTTTCTGCATCTCAGTGCATCCATAGATACCTAGAGGAGAGATTCTCAGGTGCCTGATGACGCAATTGAGATTTGAACTTATAAACACCAGCAAGTTCTTTCCCCAGTCACATTCTTTCTTTTCTTACAATAAAGCAACAACTTTCTCAATTCATCATGCTAGGACCCTAGTCTCTTTCCAGAGAAAAGTTCTTAGCAATACCTACACAGTCCACTTCGGGTTATTAATTAGATAATCAAAGAAGGAACAATAAGGAGTTAGGTACCTAATATGTATAGCTAAATTTTAGGAAATAAACTGCTTAGGTTTTTAGTTTAGTAAAGTTTTTAAAAATTGTTGTAAAGTTTCAGAAGCTATGTTACACCAGGAAGGTTCATTTGGGGGAAATTTTGTGTTTTATTCATTTAAATCATTTTGTTTGCCTTAATACTTCTTGCCAGTTCCTACTGCAGTGCTTGAACCTGTGACACTCAGAACTGAGACTTGGGTCACAACGCAAGGTAATGACATGTGGAGATGCTCAGCAAATGCTCTTCTTTCTCCTTGTCAGACACACTGCACCCTTCTCATAGCCACGGGTCATTCCACATTATTAGACTAAGATGCTGTCCTCCATAGTCATTCTGTTATTTATTTCATTCTAAAAGTACTGAAAGCCCTGACACTTAAAAAAAAGTTACTTGTTTCTAAAAAACTACTGCTTGAAGTCAACTCATATCATCTGTTGGGCATAAAACCACTTGAAATTATTTTGTCATCTTGAATGGTTTTAACCAATAAGTTTTTAAAGGTGACCTTAAAAAAAATTTTGTCTTGACTTGAATAATTATAGTACTAGGAAGTTTCCATGTGGATCTAAAGTTCTACTTCATAATTATTATTTATTCATTCATTTATATTACCTTTGTAGTATTTGTTCTGAAACCTTATTTTTATGGTATTTTAGTAAACTATAAAAAGAATTTGTAACCAACCATCACTACCACTATGATATTTTAGCAGTGCTTACTGATCTTTTCATTCCATGAGAATTCTATGTTTTACCTTTACTTCTTGAAAAGATAATTACATTCTATGTAGGATTCTTATGCCTGATGGACTCAATTATAAAAACAGGCAGGCTATAATAATGACAAAAGTTTCAAGTTAAAAAGTTAGAAAGAAACATAAGGGCTGGCCAAATAGCTCAGCATATTAAAGCACCTGCAAGCAGGCACAGAGGGGCCAGGAGTTCCCGGGCCTGTTGTTCCGGTCCCGCCCCCGGGGCACGCTGAGATGGCAATTAAGACTGGGCATGGTAGTGCACGCCTGTAATCCCAGCTCTTGGGAGGATGTAAACAGGAGAATCACTACGAGTCCGATCTAGTAGTGAGACCCCCAAACACCTTGTAGACTCTTCCCCAAAATACAGAAAAACAAACAAACATATCCTAAAATATGAGAAGCATCTAATAAATTTTAGGGAACATGAAGCCAGGTTCCTTCAATCCTATAACTTTTGAACTAATAAACTGTAATAAATCAGCAATAACTGAAGATTTTCTTTCCTCAGCTGTTAAAACATTCCAATGGACCCGTCGTCCACGTCCACGTCCACGTCCACGTCCACATCCACGCCCACATCCACGTCCCAAACCTAAAGCCACACCAAGTTCTAAAGTTTCTCAAATTGTACCGAGTAAATGTGAGTTTCTGCCAGGAGTGCCTCCTGCCCACACTTATGAGTCCATTTTTAATGCCGTTGGTAGGAGTGACAGCCTGTGTTGGTTAAGGCAAAGTAGCTTGCTGCTGCTATCACTGTTGACTTTGCGTGGGAACATGTAATTTGAGACAGAGACCGGCATGGCAGCTGAGTTATTTGGGTGTTCTGCATAAGAATCATCTGTATTTCTAAGGATCTTTCTTTTACTACCACTTACTTCATTCTATTCTCTTAAAGATAAAATGTCTACATCTTAAATGGAATCAAGCTTTATTTAAAGAAATAAACATTCATTACCTCCCATCTTTCTATAGTCACAGCAACAGCTTTGAGATAACACAGTAGTAGAGACTTGTTCGTCCCACTCAAACTGTGATATAGTATAGGACCTTCCCCTGAATGAAATATACAGATTGAGATCATAGAAACAAGGTGCTTTGTATATGCAAATCAAACTTGATTTTTAAGGATACCTTTAACATCTATGACCTTAAAGAAAGAAACGTTTATGAAGAACAGAAATAAGGACATGGCAAAAATGGGTCTTTAAAATCTGGGAGTTGAAAAGAAGCAGAAGGGAACTAGAAAGCCCAACCATGGGACACAGACTTCCTGAAACAAGTTGAATCCTGCTTCTAAGAGATAATAATAGATTTGTTTGGGGAAAACTCCATAGGAGCAATTAAATAAAGTTCTCAAAGCTATGTTTAGGAAATCTGGATCTGAAGCTTAAACCATTGGTGATCTTTTCTATCCACCTAGCATACTGTATTTTTGTGATTAGAAGGAAAAGCTGCTCTCCTGGGTACCACACATTACGTGGATGCTTACTATCTTTGGCAACCTGTTTTCCAATATGAATTCTTAATAATATCAGTGTGGTTCATTTTGCTTTATTTTTTTGTTACATCCCCTCTCATACATAAGGCTATTTGTGATACCCAGGGTTATTTAAACAAAGTATTAGAGCTTCTTGCAAGAAACCAATAATTGAAGAACAGTTACGTAAGCAAAAGGGGTCACCAAAATATTTGATGAATGCTTAAATTTTTAAAATTTTATTATATTAAAAATACATTCTTATTAATGCCCCTCAAAATATTTCCCCTCAATTTGTAAGTACTTATTGATCTTGCCACTTCTGAAGCAGTTCTGGAAGTGTCTTTTGTGAGTGGCTTTACAAATTCTGATAAAAATATAGTGAATGGGGCCAGGGAGATGGCTCAATAGAATAAGTGCTTGCCTGGCAAGCACAGGGTCACACAAGAGGACTTCCAAAACTGCTTAAGAAAGTGGCAAGAACAATATGATAGCTGTTCAGTGAAAGAAGAAGAGTGTTTTGGGAAGAATTAAAGGCAATGTGTCTGGCTGACACTGACAAAAGATCTACAAACTGCTATACGTGGTTTCAGGGTGGCGAAACCATGAGGTGATTTGACTGACCTTGGCAGATACAAAAGTTACAATTTTTTGAATTAAATATTTACCATGTTTTTCAATCACGCCTTGTATATTTTGGGTAAGATATCTCATATTTCTAGGGCAGTTTTCTATAATAGTTGGAATCAGGTACTCAGATGCCTAGAAGAATGTCACATTGACTTTCAGTACTTAGTGGGTTGTATAGTTTGTAGTTTATGGGGCTACAGGGTGATGTAATAATGTTTTGGGGGCTTCAGGGTGACAAAATCATCAAGCAACAAGTACTAAATCTCATACATTTTCTTAAAGTTGCCATATACTTTTTGAAGCAATATTATACTGGTAAGATTTAATTTGCTGGCTTTTCACACATGTTTATTTGATTGCTTTCAATTAGTTCCTACTGCGGATCTTGAACCTGGTACTCTTAGAACTGGAGCTCCAGACACCATGGGTAATGAGAATGTGTGTCTTCAGATAATGCTTTTCCTCTTCATTGTCACATCATTGAATCATCTTCATCTTAATACCATTCCATTGTCCTCCATTGCCATTCCTTCATCGTCTTTGTCTTGAAATAATGCTAGGCTTTATGTCAAGTTATTGATCAAAACAAAGAGAACGGTGCATAAAATAATTTCAGGACATCACAAACTGCATTTCATCACATCATGTGATCACATGCATTTGTTTAAACAGCATTGACTACTTAAGTGATGTTTCAAAGTTAAGCCACTATCTCTTATTTATGCTTTATTCTTCAACAAGTGTGAAATACTATACTATGATTCTCAAATTTCTTCTTAATGTAGTAGGATTTATGTGAAATGTTGGTGGATCTGTTGTTTTAGGGAATGATACTTTTACTAAATTGTCAAATTCTAAAATACGCCAAACTTGGAGCGTTTGGTTGTAGTTTTCCATAATCTGATCAAGTAGACTGCCTTTCCTTGTCTAGTAACTTTAAAATGTTTCTTAATTTTTCTGAATCCAGGACACTGACATGATTGCATGGTTCATCAGTTAAGTTCTGTTCTTTAGGCTTTTAAACATATGAACATTTATTGTATTCATAATTATTTAAATAAGATGTAAATGAGTAGACAGTTGCCTCAACAGTTTTTAAATGTTCTTTTTACTTTTATTTTTAATACTCTTTTTAGTAAGTCAAAAAACCATATATTTATTAAAAACCTATATATTAAAACATATGTTAAACTTGTCCAGTAGACTTTCACAAAAGCAATGGCCAGGTGATCAAATGTCTAGCCTGGTACTCTTAGAACTGTTTTCTAATGAAAACATCTTGAGCACTATGTACTAATATCTATCTCTGTACAATGCTATGTTGTAAATCTATGCATCATTATGTTAATATGCATTTGGCCATGGCTTAACTGAATCTGCAAAAGACTGTCTCTTCTCTCATTTCTTAAACTCAAAATGAATCAATTTGTAAAATTAACCTTGAAGTAATTTTTTTAATCTCTGGTTTATTTTACTATTTTTGGCCAGTTCTTACAACAGTCCTTGAACCTGTCACTCTTATCACCAAGTCTCCAGAAACAACAATAGGTAATTATGTAATTTTGTTCTGTGTTCTTTAACAATTTTTTTCTTGGTCATTTTCAAACTTATTCCATCATCATTGCAATCACACCATCACTGGCTTTCTAAGACTGTCTTGTCATTTACTGTCTTATCATCTACTTGATAGCCTTACTTGAGTTCATGTCATGTACTTTTTCTAAACAGCATTCACATCTAAAGCTGTTTCAAGCACAAGTTAGTAATGTCTATGTCTTATCTAGACAGATTAAACTATAAAATTTTATTGCACCATAAATTCCTTATAGTATTTAAATTTTTTATTGTAATCTAAGACCCCTGCACTTAGATTGGCAAAGTTTATTTTGAAAGTAGAGATTTATAAATCTTTGTTCCTTGACTTAGTTTTGTATGTGAGTTTTTCCTCTCAGAGAGAATCCTGTGTGTACAAAACAATTGAAAAAATAGGATATAATATTTTAATCTTATGTATGCATTAAATCTCAAGGAAATATAATGAATCTTAGAAAAATAAATCTTTTCTTTACAACACCCCCTTCAACAAAATAATCCAAAGTTTCCTCCTTCAGCTCCCAAAACACTACGAACGCGTCGCCCACGTCCCAGACCTAAGACCACATCCAGTCCTGAAGCTTCTCAGACAAAATTGGGTAAATGTGTAATTTCTTAGTTTTAGGGGTGAGGTGAGTCTTACAACCTGTACCAGTGCTTTCCTAAAACAGTGCCCATGGAAGGTCCTCTAAGAGTCAAGGCATTAGATATGGTTAACATCTATTACCTCTATAGAGCTCCAGAAAAAAATATGATTTCATGATTTGGGAATACTGGTGATTTAGTGTGAATGAAATTCTTGCTCTCTCTTGAAAGGTGAGTGGACAGCAACATTGATATAGTCATTCATGGTTATTTACTGCTCTATCTGTATCAAAACATTTGTTTTGGGCTGGGGAGATGGCTCAGTAGAAAAAGTGCTTGGCTGGCAAGCGCAGGGTCCTGAGTTCAACTGCCAGCACCACAAAAAAAAAAAAAAAAAAAAAAAAAAATCGTTTTAGCCATGATTACATAAGCAATCATTTTTTCAACTTAGGTGAATCATAGTGCACTACATAACAGAAATCATAGGTTATGAATATCTTGTGCAATTAACTATTCTGCCTTAGTGTAACCAACACTTCAAAAAGCAATTACATATTGCTTCCTATCCATTTTAAAGTTTAGAAAACTTGTCATTTGAAGCTCTATTTTGAAAGAAAAAGTTTTTCCATGTGTTTAAACTTTACTGTCTTCATGTTGTTGCTTTTAATTAGTTCCTATTCCAGCCTTTGAACCTGATATTCATAGTACTGGGCCTCCAGAAACAACATTAGGTAATGATTTTTGTAACTTTTCTTAAATGCTTTTTCTCTCACTAATTAAAAAAGAGTTACTCCTTCCTAAGATTACTGTTATCACACTATTTCATACCTTATCTTACTAACAGGTAGAAATCTTAATTCAAATTTTATCTATTATTTTTAATGACTACCTTTACGTTCATTGAAATATATCCATGTGCATGAAAATCTCTCTAAAATTGTATCATACAAATGAGTGTTAAATTTTGGGTCCAAATTTCTCCTTTTCCTTTTAATGTTTAGATCTGCAGAGTTACAACAACTAAGTAGCATGAGCCTCTAACTAACTTTCTATGGGATCTGTATTACTGTTACTGATCTATTTCAAGCAATGAGGTATTTATTAATAAAATAAAAGTTATTCCCTGGAAGTTACAGACTACACTGTCATCAATGTGTTTGACTACTCTTATGTTCCACTACCCTAGCAATGAATCTTAAACTTTACCATGTAGGGGCTTTTCTGAGTGTATGCACGTTAATATTTACCCCTTTAATTAACATTCCTATTTACTTTTGGTCTCTAAAAGAACCCTCAGTGATAATAAGTAACAAATTAAATCAGTAATATTTTTAAGTGAGGAAGTCAACTTGATAAAATATAATAAGAATGCATATAATAGTGTTCAGGCCTCTAGACCTATGAGCCCTACAGTACACCAAGATGTTCTTTCTTCCGTTTTAAAAACATAAAAAAGGAAGCCCTATTCACCCCCAAAACTTTAAACTTCCTGAAATTTCTCAGTCAAAAATCAGAAAAATCTTATTCATAAACTAAGGAGTCCCTCCAGCTAAATGTAGCTGAGTGTCCGAAAGGACAATGAGGTGCCTTGAACTTCTGTGTCCTCTAGGAGAAGACTCTATCAAATTAACAACAGTTACAGAGTCAGCTGTTAGGTTCATAGCTGAGAGAGATCTGTGTGGTAGACAAATTTGCCTTGTGCCCTATTGAAGGATTGTCTCTGATGTGTCATATTCACTTCTCTTATTCTATTTTATCCCTTTTCAGTTGTGCTATTTTTTTCAGTACAGATATTTCTGTTTTGTTTTTGCTTAAGTAGATATTATTTAGAGTAATAATTTAACTTAAAGAACCCCTACCCAAAGTTTTTTGGGTATAGTTTTCTAAGTATGGGGCACTTTGATTACATAAGATCAGCTTGCTTAATCAAGTGGTACAAACAAAATATTTGAGAGAATCAATAATGATTGTGGGCTGGCAGAGTTGTTGAGACTTGCAATAGCTATAGGGGCCAGGTGAGGTGGCATACAACTATAATCCCAACACTTGAGAGACTGAGGCAAGAGGATCACTGTAATTTCAAATCCAGCCTGAACTTCAGAGTGAAAACAACTTAAAAAGACAGAGAGAGAGAGAGAGAGAGAGAGAGAGAGAGAGAGAGAGAGAGAGAGAGAGAGAGAGAGAGA